GACGCAAAAATCTCACAGCAAGGTGCTTCCACCTCTCCCAATGTCAGGGTTGGAATGATATCAAATATTATGACATCAACTCCTTTAGCAATCATTTTTACCCCCACTGCTTATATTTTTTAAACTCAACTCTCACAAGCATTAAGCCTTGGGGAACCAATTGCAGATTGAGATTATGAGTGGTTATTACTTTTGGGATTATTCGAGGAAGAGTCCAAACGGGTTGTCCCTACCGAATATGAGATTTTATTCTCTTCCAAGTCTAACTTCTCTGAATAAAAACGAAAACATTCCTGAGAAAATCTTATTCAAATTCATCAACTTCAGAAAAGAAAAAAGAGCATCACCGGAACTAATATACAAGAGTCAGACCAAACAACTCGTGAAGCACAAGTGCATAAGCATCTGATGATTATAGACAAATTCAGAGTTTACAAGCCATGCGTTTCGCAATCAAAGAAGAAAGCATCCACCTGATCAATTTTATATTCCATCGTCAGCTAGCACAACTCAAGTGGACATACTGGGAACGAAAGTATACTTTTCCTTCCAGTGAGGGCGAAGAAACAATTAACGGAAAATGTAGTCATGGGACGACGGATATTGGGGTAATTAAACAAAGATACCAGACAGTCCTGTGGTACACCGGACCGTATTATGAAGTCAATTACAAATTTCTCCAGCAAGGGTGCACTATCCATAGTAGTCAGCCATACCTTGCTCCAAGGGCAAAATGTACAAAGCAGTCTCAGCTCCTGCTTTAAGCAATCACTATTAGTCACTGGTGCACCGGCATTTACATGTGATTGTGCCACTTCTTCCACCGCCTGACCCACTTCTTGGGCAAACTATAGCAGAAAAAGGTACTGCTTCATTTCAAGGATAATCAACTAGACCACATCATGCCAAGTACCTAAACAAATTAGGGTTATCTTTGTCCCTTTCTAAGTAGTCTCTTGTGATTAGATCTTCAATCCGCTTTTTTATTGCTTTGAAGTCGGGCTGAAAGAATGAGAGGGAGAGTGAAATAAACACCACTGGTTTAGAACCAAGAAAAAAGATCTCAATATCTTATAAGAGCAGAAAAATAAGGACTACACAAACCTTGAACATGCGACCAAGCTGCTCTACACACTCCATAACCAACTGCTGATGACCCAAAACTTTACGGCTCTTCATGATACGCACAATTGAGGCATCAATGGCATACCGTCTGTCCTTGTCAACGTCTTCAATTACTTTCTTCTTCTCGTCCACAGGTGGGAGGGGAATCTGCATGGTGAACACAGTTATAACTCATCACTCACATAAACCACAAAATTAGAAGACAAGAAAAGAACACGAGACAGTGAAAAGATC